CCACTCTATATGCCATTATTTATGATGTCATCACTACCACTATATTCCATTAGTTATGACTATCACTCTAATTTGCCTTATGTGTGATGTAATCACTACAACTTCTTAAACTATTATTTGTGACTTCAACACTGTCACTCTATGTGCCACGAGATTCCTTAAACACGCCACCAAAGACAGTATAGAGTCTTGACTTTGAGAACGTTGTTTTTTTATTCAACACTCAATTCAGACGCGTTAAATCGAACGTGCACTGAGTTTTCTTTTCCAGTGTCCACGTCCTTGCCCCACTATCGCACACAAATTACAGAGTGCGTTGACCTCTATTTCTATAATACACCATTGCATATATGAATGCTAAAATTGAAGAAATACATCATATAACTAATTAGACTATTTTTACAAAGTTATCGAGATCCCGCGCGATACGTGAAATCGAATGTAAACAAGCAAAAATCATAGCGTCGTAGTGGCGTCAAAATGAGGTGTGGTATTCGTTATATATCATATTGCATATGCCCTTATATTATGAATCACAATCAATTATGTTTCAATTTGGGGCGTTTTTATGCAACATGACGTCATTGCTACAACTATTTGCATACTATAAAATAGAGAATAGATGGAAAGGCAGCTACGGTCTTTGATGCAATTTTTTTTTGGATTCACACATGGTTTCAAATGTTTTACCTGTAGGATTATGTTCGAATATTCCAAGACAAATTACATCACACACAATACACACAAAATAAACAACAGTACCTAAACTAGTCTATAGTAAACATAATTGATAACAACATGGTTTTAAAAACTGGTGACAAAAAACAGTGCAAAAAGTATGATATGGCCTGTGTGGATTTTTTTGCAAGCGCCCAGACGTTTACGTAATAGCGCGTGACCCATCAAAAGACGTGGCACGCAACTTTAGTCTCTCTGATATTTGCCGCAGCTTGCCTGTCTCTGTAATCTGTTGCGTCATTTCTTGCTTTAATTAAGATGACAATGTACCGGTCATTGTGATATACGTGGTTCGTCACGTAACCTGCATGCTAAGGAACCCATTAGGTCTTTACAATCATTATATGGGGATATATTCGTGATGGTGACTAGAGTTAACCCTAATGACGCCATCCCTGCCTTTTAATTTAATTCATCGTTTACCTAATTAAATTATAACTGCTTTGTAGTCAAAATATTTATTTACATGACGACTACGAATGCGTACGAAATATTCATTTGTATTTGTAAAACAAAGACGCTTAAATGAACCTCAAAGATTAATGACTCAATAAGTCATCACTCACAGAAATATTTGAATAATCCCAGCTAAGCTTCGCCTGTATGTCGTCTCGTATGACTTAAACCATCATATAGACGTACGTACACTTGTTATGATTACATAATATACAATACACAGCTTGCATTACTGACATAATATTATATTGTTAATTGGAATTCCCAACTGCTTTATAATAACTGGCGAATGTAGCATGCCTTAAGACGATATTCTAAAAATGTAGAAAGAGTCCAAAATCTATACTGCTACCTTAATCTGTAATCTTCACAGGTACACGGTATGTGTATAAACCACCATCCATCAAACATTTAGTAACATTTTAATGATTGAATGATTTCATAATATTTGCTATTGAAAAATTACATGCATTTATTACATTATAATGAAGTTAACAATCCACAAAACTGTATTCAAATAAAGCCACTAATAATAATACTCTTTACTACATCAAAACATTCTGTCTCGAGGCTACCAGTAGTGGCGAGATATTCATACGCCACCAGAAATGTTTAGAGTACTAGGACATAAGCAAGGGATTAATAGCGTGTAACTTCAGCCATTGTTGAGAATCAAGCTAAATAGAGCAGTATTTGTATTGACACATACGCCGGTAGAGTGTTTCACATCTGCTGCCCGAGGCAAACACGAGGTGTAGTATATTGTACAGCTGCTACACAATGTTATGACGTCAGATCTAATACTCCCGTAAGAAAAGACGACATGACTTGATTACCCGCGATTAGATAACACTGAACAAACGAAGACAATGAACAGGCATGTGTAATTTTGACTTCGAAAAGCTACCACACAATTGGTAAGATTTACGCAATGGGATACCATTAAATATATAGATATGATTACAGGTCTATAGCAACTGGACACACAAGACTGTATGTATGTGTTATATACAAACATAATATATGCTACGTATAACACTCATGCCACTATAAATAAATATACAATAATTCCATCATTAGTCACGTGTCTATACATACGTAAATTCACAAGTCAAAACAATATATCGTTTTCGTTACTTCAAACAACAACAATAACTCTAAGGATGTCAAATAGTGATCCCCATTGTATAGCAGTGTTGGATATCTTCACATATGCCTTTGATATATTTTGGCACGGGCAATCTATAGCCTTGACGCCCTGTGCCGTTCTTTGTATCCAATCAGGCTGCACTTTTTGCATCGCTTTGTTCGCTTCCCCGTCTTTGCCGTGCTGTAAAGTATTATAATCGATATACACTATACTGTCAGATTTGCATTAAGTGCACAAATTGTAATCACACTATTTTTTCTCGCTTGTGTGTGATTTAATTATAATTCCTTGACTGAGTTTGCGCAGTTATTACCTTCCCCGAGTACCCGAAGCCATTGTTAAATATAGCGTATGTACGGAGCTTCGTAGTTGAACATCACCACTCTTCATGATGTGCACGCGAACTACGGACAGATCCATATGAAGTCCACGTAGTGCAATGATGTGTCGCTAAACGTAGAAATTATTGAAAAGCAGCAAGAGGCGTACCCATCGTGTTTGTTGACATGGTGGACCGGTCCACATCCATGCGACTCAGTGTGTTGTCAATGTATGCGCTGACGTTATTGTTTGAAAACAACGTTCGATCATTTACTGACGAAACGGATTCCCCTATTTTATGTTGACATACCTTCAACTGAACGTGGTCCTGTTATCTCTTGCTATTATATATAGGTGTTAACTGAGATGAGTTATACGATGACATTCTTAGAACGTGCTGCTATTATTATTATTGTTAGGCCCACATAAAGCTGGTAAGTGATTTTCAAATGCAGTCACACTTTTATTTTTACCGCATACACCATATCATAAACATAGTAACTGTACCAAAACTACTAGTATACCAAATAGTTGGAACAACGTTATGTTCAGTTATGTCAAATGTTGTTGTTTTTTTCTATCCGTTTTTTTTTATATCTTAAAAAAATCGAAAGTAATTTTTTAACGCGTGACGCGTTAGAGTAAATCAATGCTCTTAGTAGAATGACCGGGAAATCGATACTTCTCACTAATTGACAGAGGTAACGAGCGCACCACCAATTTATAGAAAACCAGTAAACACGCGTTGCGACTATATCTCGTACAACTAACCTCATTCAATATAGTTGTCGAAGATATAGCAGAATGTTATCGTAATTTTGGGTTCAATAGGGGCGGGGGGCATGAGAGTCCAGTAAATTGTTTCTATATTTTGATAATATCGCTTGAACAAACTATATTGTTCACGATGAGTCAATGTAATTTGAGACTATAGATATAGGCGTAATCACATGATTAAAAACGCTGAGAATCGGACGTTTACTAAAGTGCCCCACATCAGATTGCAACCCACTGCGAAGCCACCACGTGTGAGGATTGCCCTTGGCTCGTTTTCTTGATTGCTCACAGCTTTACTGTTCGTGATTGATGATAGGTCTTATTGCAGTATTGACGCAAATAAAAACAACGCGCGTAATCATATGTTTATATAGACCGTACGCGGGGATCGATTTGAATGATACACTAAATGCCATGAAGGTAATAGAAATAATATTTATGGATGTAGTTTTCCATTAACGTGGGAAAATATGTCCGATTGATGGAAATCATAAAGTAATATAGACGGAGAACATTCATAATAATAAACCATGTAGATTTATTAACTTCATAATTAATTTTGAATATAACACGGAATTAGGACGCCACATTCAAGAACTTTATTATACGGTACACTAAATCCCGGAGTGGCGTATGTACGTCTACTATATGATACACTGAATCCCGGAGTGGCGTATGTACGTCTACTAAATGGTACACTAAATCTTGGAGTGGTGCATATACGTCTACTAAATGGTACACTAAATCCTGGAGTGGCGTATGTACGTCTACTAAATGATACACTAAATCCCCGAGTGGCGTATGTACGTCTACTAAATGGTACACTAAATCCTGGAGTGGCGTATGTACGTCTACTATATGATACACTAAATCCCGGAGTGGTGTATATACGTCTACTAAATGGTACACTAAATCCCGGAGTGGCGTGTGTACGTCTACTAAATGATACACTAAATCCCGGAGTGGTGTATGTACGTCTACTAAATGATACACTTAATCCTGGAGTGGCGTACGTACGTCTACTAAATGATACACTAAATCCCGGAGTGGTGTATATACGTCTACTAAATGGTACACTAAATCCTGGAGTGGCGTATGTACGTCTACTAAATGATACACTAAATCCCCGAGTGGCGTATGTACGTCTACTAAATGGTACACTAAATCCTGGAGTGGCGTATGTACGTCTACTATATGATACACTAAATCCCGGAGTGGTGTATATACGTCTACTAAATGGTACACTAAATCCCGGAGTGGCGTGTGTACGTCTACTAAATGATACACTAAATCCCGGAGTGGTGTATATACGTCTACTAAATGATACACTAAATCCCGGAGTGGCGTGTGTACGTCTACTAAATGGTACACTAAATCCTGGAGTGGTGTATGTACGTCTACTAAATGGTACACTAAATCCCGGAGTGGTGCATATACGTCTACTAAATGATACACTAAATCCCGGAGTGGTGCCTATACGTCTACTAAATGGTACACTAAATCCCGGAGTGGCGTATGTACGTCTACTAAATGGTACACTAAATCCCGGAGTGGCGTGTGTACGTCTACTAAATGGTACACTAAATCCCGGAGTGGTGCATATACGTCTACTAAATGATACACTAAATCCCGGAGTGGTGCCTATACGTCTACTAAATGGTACACTAAATCCCGGAGTGGCGTATGTACGTCTACTAAATGGTACACTAAATCCCGGAGTGGCGTGTGTACGTCTACTAAATGGTACACTAAACCTAAACATATACCGGTTATTAAACATTCTATTAGTTTTGTTTTTTAACACTCCACGAGATATCTGTTCCACGAGCACCTACAATGTTCACAGAAAATACCATAATGACATTGCAGTGTGTATAGAATGTTCCATAATGACATTGCTATTAAACACTCCTGGAAGTGTAAGGACCACTAGCACCTACAATGTTTATAGAGTGTTCCATAATGACATTGCTATTGAACACTCCTGGAAGTGTAAGGACCAGTAGCACCTACAATGTTTATAGAGTGTTCCATAATGACGTTGCTATTGAACACGGCTGGAAGTGTAAGGACCACTAGCACCTACAATGTTTATAGATTGTTCCATAATGACATTGCTATTGAACACTCCTTAAAGTGTAAGGACCAGTTGCACCTACAATGTTTATAGAGTGTTCTATAATGACGTTGCTATTAAACTCTCCTGGAAGTTTAAGGACCACTAGCACCTACAATGTTTATAGAGTGTTCTATAATGACGTTGCTATTGAACACTGCTGGAAGTGTAAGGACCAGTAGCACCTACAATGTTTATAGAGTGTTCCATAATGACATTGCTATTGAACACTGCTGGAAGTGTAAGGACCACTAGCACCTACAATGTTTATAGAGTGTTCCATAATGACATTGCTATTGAACACTCCTGGAAGTGTAAGGACCACTAGCACCTACAATGTTTATAGAGTGTTCCATAATGACGTTGCTATTGAACACTCCTGGAAGTGTAAGGACCAGTATCACCTACAATGTTTATATATTGTTCCATAATGACATTGCTATTGAACACTTCTGGAAGTGTAAGGACCACTAGCACCTACAATGTTTATAGAGTGTTCCATAATGACGTTGCTATTGAACACTCCTGGAAGTGTAAGGACCAGTATCACCTACAATGTTTATATATTGTTCCATAATGACATTGCTATTGAACACTTCTGGAAGTGTAAGGACCACTAGCACCTACAATGTTTATAGATTGTTCCATAATGACATTGCTATTGAACCAACAACAGTAATAAATTTAGCGTATTCCACGATGACGATGTTATTCAAAAATTACCTCTGATCGCTCAAGCAGGATTTACAAAAACAAAGTGTAACATCCATCACTCGCTTGCTCTTCTCTAGCTCATTGTTCCTGTTTCTTGATGGCCAATCTATCAGTGTAAGCTTCGGCATAAAGTGGTTAACCACACCGACTCGTCACTCTAGATTAAATATTGATAAATACATCCTGTCTGCAGATCTCAACTAATTAACATATTATAGAAGTTATATATAGTATAGGAGCATTATATGCTAAAATAACTCCCACGAAATTTAAATATATGTCAATCATTCCGTGCTCGTTCCTTTATTTGAATTAATATATATGCGTAAATCGTAATAATGTTATAATCGTGTAGGTTGCCAAATGTAACACATGATAACACAGAACTCAGACAGGGTGTTCCCGATAATGAACGTTTCTTAATCTGTACATTCCATCATTCAATGCACAATACACAGCCATGATAGTGAGGGAGAATACGACAAAATAACAGTGATCTAAAAATGTGAACCACCGATTCAATGAGCTTCTAATGAGTATTCGATGATAAACACATTATATCTTGGTGAACTGTATTCTTTCTGAGATTACATCCAAATACCGTGCTGATTCGCAGGATTATTCCCTGATTTGTTCAAAAGTGTTGGTTAACATGGTTACTAGTACTTGGATACGACAGAGTTGACAACTGTTCAACAAAAGTTTGTCTATACATAATGTATTTATTACAATATTATATATTATATTTTACAACGATGGTTCTGTTTTCAATTATACATTCCACATGAACCGTCGTGTTTTCACTCTTATCACTAACGAGTGGCATAGTCAGTCGTTTTTTTTTTCCGCAATGCTTCTGGAATTCTCGCGAGAGTGGTTACTATTTATAATCATCTGAAAATAAATCACACTTTCACTTTATATTCAGTAGCTTAGTAACTATGGTAACTGTATATTAGTTAGAACCACTTATTTCCTGTCACGAAACACATTTATCTTTCCTCTAAAAATACTAAATAAATATGTCATGTAATTACATTCACGTGACCATGTATATTATATTGCATTTGGACAGAATTATAACCGTTTTATTTTAAAACCGATCAACATTTAGATCATCAATACAACTTTTTAAAAACTGTATAATGTGAATGTTATGATGGCATCGTTCTTCGATCTTCTTTCTTAGAAGTATATTATAATAACTTCAAACGCAAGGAATGACGACATCACTCTTCTAGTTTATTACTCGAAGGAATATTATAAGTACAGCGACCACAAAATGATGACATATTCATCAATGATGATAACGTGACGTCGTTCTTTTTTTCCCAACACAACAGGATGTTGTGATTTAGTTAATTATCTGAATAACTTGTATGCGTAGTTTCATATATGAAATGTCGTGATCGCGAGAAATAAATATATTGATGTTCAGAGTGAAGATTATATAGCTTACAATATCCAGTCATAATGATGGCCACTAGTATGTATGACAACAGAGGTGTATTTGTAAACGCCGCTGATATAGCATATAAGAACGGTAACACATTGCTTGCGTTACTTACCGTATAGAATGATGTGTTATTGTAAATGACTATATATATATATATATATATATATATATATATATATATATATATATATATATATATATATATATATATATATATATATATATATATAATTCTCAAACTAATTAATATTAATAATATTTTAAATTAATTATTATTATGTTGACTTCGTTATCGCCTGTATCATGAGTTATTTTGTTTAGTTTGCGTTGCAGGCGTTTGGTCCGCCGTATAACTAGACTGAGTTTTTTTAATATATATGACAGCTTCATCGTCACACTCACAATAATTAGTGTGCGCAGAAATTGACGTGCCGTGTTAGCCATTACCATATAGTTTTTATTGCGACTATAACTGTATAACTACGCATATATACATCCTGTTGTGGTGGCGTGTGGGGACTCGCTATTACCTCCATTTAATTATTTCAGCACCACCGCCGGGTAATAGCGCGATCAGAAAAATTATTTTTATTAAGCGCAATTCTGGCTCCTATCAACATTTTAAAGCGATATTCATTCTGCAGGCCATTAGCACGGGTTACTTTGAATAATATTTTTAATATCTTCAAAATATAACCATTTTTATTTAACTCATTATGAATTTCCTGTGTGACTAGTATATGCTTCACGCTCTGACTGGCGTCTGAAATCGATGTGTACATTATGGGGGTGAATGCCCGACAAACACGACTATGTACAAACACTTTAATACACACTGCACGGTATCAACGATTTTCTATATATTGTTACCGAAATAATATGATCAGTGTAAATTCATGATTTGTTTACAATGTACAGTAGTTATACAGTTGACTACATGTATCGCCTGTATACCACAGCTATAGGTCATAGTAATATTGATTTTATTCACACAGTGTGACACGTTGAATTGCAACGTGTCGTGGTGCTTAACAAACCACTTTATAATAACACAAACATAATTGATCAAATGAATCGTGATGGAGCATGGATAAAACTGGTCTCTTAGCTATTGTCATTGGAATAGCCCCAAATCAATGAATTTGAATTAAAATGAGCAAAATGTACGCGTACAATATACATACATTAGTACAACCCACCTCATGTAAGTGACATATTCAATAAACAGTCAGTACCTCCACCCTAACTCTTTCACTCCAGACAAATGTAGTAATTTTTGCGATTGGTTTGTTTTCTGGTGAACATTTTCTATCGTCGTTTTCACGACGGCTGTTTTCGACTTGAATTGCTAACCTTTAAGAAACTAGAACAAAGTCGGGGTTTCATCACTGGCGAGTAACGCTTATCAAAATATCTTATCTTACTTGGCTGCGTGCTTATTGGAAAAATGTACCTTTGTCAAGTATTCATATCCTTTAAACACTTTCTGCATTTAAATTGGTTTCTGTACAATTAGCAAAGTAGCAGTACATATGTAGTCACACTGATCGCCCCGTCTTATTTACTCACTTCTAATCCAAACCGACTCAGTCAGTGTTCGAAAGTCAGATTCGCTTAACAGAACCGCATTTAGCAAGTTGAACATTTGTTTTATCGATTACACGGGAGCATAAATTACACACACAACATACACGCAAACTGTTATTATCCTTTGAAACATTCCGACATCGTCACTTACTAGAGTCTGTCTATGATAGTAAGCATAACGGAGAGCTTACCCCAACTGTATTAATGAGACTCGGGCGGTGTTAATTAGACTAATGGGAAGGTTTTATATACGGCTTTGCCCATGGCGCCTCTTTAATCATTTCACAACTATTGGATCTCGATTACTATGTAGCAACAGTAACAGTCACTCGTACATAGTTGCAATTATATCGCTGCGTGTTTACGATCCTAGTTTTTTTCTAATAAATCGAATGTGACTATGATCATTAATCAGTCGGTTTGCTGCATGCTAATATTAACAAAGTTACCGTTCTGTCTTTAAATTCAACTATTACAAGCATTGTGTACCATCGTCAATAATCCCTTGGGACAGTGACAGCGTGTGGCGACGAAAACAGTCCAAGGAATGTGAGATACCATTTCCAGCTTTTTCATTGAAACCCAACAGTGCTATCCCCTATAGCGGAGTGACAGACATTGCTTCCTATGAATATAATATTTGTTAAGTACATGCATATGGCGTATAAGGATATACTCACGAACCAATAAAATAAATTCGATTAGTATTTTAATAGCACGTACACATTCCTGATGTGAAATAAAAAAATATCTAATATTGTGATTATGTTTATACTGCTCTCTCGATCATAATATCGTCGTATATAATAAATTAAACAAGTTATTTCTTTCTCCAGCGTAGATATATATTTTTACATTGCCCACGAACTGAACGGAAGCCGAACGAAGTCATGTGTCGCGACCTCGCCATTTATTATGGAAAACCTAATCTTCTCCCCCTTTTTGATAAATGCTTACGGATAACAAACCAATAGATGCAACGTAACGTTGACGTGCCCGATGAATGAAAGGGAGCACCCAGATGTGAAGAACAAACTAACATACTAATACACGGAATGATAAACATAATCTGAAATAATTGGTACATGAGACAGTACATTATACCAAAGTCCCTCCATAGACAGAGGGGCTGTGATTATACACTGCGTGACGCCGTCATCTGAATAATCATTGGCAACTGGTCATTTAAGCTTCGGTGGACTAAAATATATTCAGGATATTATTATTCTGAGTCATATATCAAAGTGAAGGCCTGTTATAAAGATGGATTTATGTATTGAACTCACATAATTCGCTATATCATGACTAGTGCCGTTGTTGATTTGTAAACTGAATGAATGGATAAAGGGACGCCATGTCCATGTCCCTATTTGGCGAAACCAACTACTGTGGGAATCGTGTTCCCAGAATGAATTTATAGTAACGTATTGTGTTTTTGACAACCCACTCCGCCTTGGTAAATATACATACTAAAATGTTGCTCTGTGTAATCAACTAAAAACAAGAAATTCCTTGTTACATGCTCAAAATTCAGTTCAAATAAGATTATCCGGAAGGCGAGTCTGGTTTGCTTAACTCCCAAGGATCACCCATGCTGCGTGCAATCATTGAACCAATCGTCACCTCGAGATTTGACAATAACCGTAAGCGTCATGATAACGTCTAGCCACATAAATAAAACAAACTTCCGGTTTGTTGGCATGCTATCGGCAAGATCTTTTACATCCATCAATATGTAATTCATAATTATTAGTAAAATACATAAAATGGCAAGCATAATATCGGTGACTGTTTTATTCTTTAAAATCGAGTCAATAACCCATATTACAAGTAAAACAAAGCTTATCAAAATATGATGATTGGCGAACACATCAAAAACAATCGGCAGGAAGTTAATTTTATTTTTATTATTTTTGTGGGACTATGTCACTTTAACTGTTGTTCGCATTTTTTAGTTCAAGGTTTCTGACTCCACCCTCTCTGAACTATTGAGAAAAATATGTTCAGAATTGTAACACTTCTCACTGTTTGTATTTACTATTGACAGCAAACGTCATTTGTGATTCGGTTGTACGGCACTGTTACGCATGATTGGTTACCATAGAAACCACCACGATGAAAGCGATTGTTGCAAATATGAATTAATTAATCATGTCTTTTCTACTTGCTGTCTACACCACGCCGCGAAGGCGACAGACCCATAATTTTCCAGTGCCAGTGTCAACATATACAGCGAGAGTGTTGGTTGGTCCAAAACACTGAAAATGACATCGGCATAACAGGGAATGTAATCGTTTGTTTCATTTCTTTAGCAGGCAGTTAGAGCGAAGACGTTGCCATGGCACCGTATTATCCAGTGGACGAAAGCAGTGGCCGGATTCCGTTAGAAATTGTGCGGAAGGAGCAACCGCTGTCACCAGAAGAGAGGCTATACTTGCTGGCCGTGGAGAAGGGTGACTTGCCGACTGTGAGGCATTTCCTGGAAGAAGCTGAGATATACTTTACAATAAATATAAACTGTGTGGACTCTCTTGGTCGCAGTGCACTATTAATAGCAATACAGAACGAAAATATTGAAATAATAGAACTGCTGCTGTCCCACAATGTTCAAATCGGAGATGCATTGTTACACGCAATAGACGAGGAGGTCGTGGAAGCCGTAGATTTGATTTTAAAGCACAAGCCAACAGGGAAAAAGGACATCAGGGTATGTATCATATAATAGTTTGTCATGAACAGATTCATCTTATTGATAATTCGTTACATTAAGTGTTACATTGAATTATGAGAGGAGACCGCCACAATCATGAAGTTAACCACTGTCAACATAAAATGTTAACAGCGTTAAGATAAGAACAGGTGCGACGTGCTAAACAGTCTCAATTAGACGTGCTGAACAATTTCGAGGCAGGCCGCGTTGGCCAGTCCTAAAATACTAGTAAACGGTGCTAGGATATGCCGTGCGAAAAAGTATTAAGACAGGCCGTGCTAAACTATGTCATGATAGCCTAGGCCGTGCTAAACACTACCGGATTACGCTGTTCTAAATAGTGCCATGGTAGACCGTGATACACTATGTACTGACATAACATGCGATATAGTCTTAAGATAGGTCCAGGTTAAAAGTCTGCCTGCGACTTTGTTTTCGTGACTTTTGTCACATTGCGAGACGCAGTCATTTAAACTGCCGGATTACAGGACCTACCTGAGTTGCACGATTGACTTATTCATCGTCTTCATGATTTATTAAATTATACGACAGTGGTGTGATTAGATTTTGTGATATAACGGATGCCAAACACGTAAACATCTTAATAATAGGGGAAATAAATAGAGTTGCAGATATCCTATGTAAATTAGTTGAGAACATTACAATTATGGGTCAAATGTTGATATAGATTGTATACGGAGTGTTTTGTGTTTTGTAACATTTGTTCCTACCCACCACCAAATACGACATCTTGACACTAGTATCTCATCTCAATACATGCATTATGCATTCACAGTAATCAGTATGACTAGATAACGGAATACTCAATGATTAGTAAAAATGTTTAAACCCAAACGTCAAAGTGACATTTGCATCTCAATGTGTAATATATTGTAGACTCATGTTCAACATACAGAGACTTAAACGTGAACAAATTAGTATGTGAATAAAATAAGTAGTAGACCATACCACGAATATGTTATTTTTTAATGAGCTTATGGAAATAATCTATATGTAACATTGTGTCTTCATATAAATTTATAAACAACATACATAAATTTAACCATAATGCTTGGACAGTATACGGAGTATAAGAAAACGAATGCGATGAGGAGAATTCCATTCAAAGGTTTTGTTTTAACTTGTACAATAAGACTAAATGATTGGAAATTCTCTGGGGTTATTTCCATGCATATCAAAGCAAGTATGTAATATAATTTCAGAACAAGTAAACACATAAAATTGAAACAGGTTTCCTCTTATATTGTGAAAATACTTTAATGACTGTGCCTAACCTAACTGAATCGTTAGATGCAGGGTTTAGTGGATATGTCATCAGCGTGAGCAATCAAATGCAAGTAAATCTCATACATTACACTCACCACTCCTTGTCAATTACCCGCTGTTCAGCAACTGTAACGGAATAACATGATTGCTATTCCTAAAAGTGATAATAAACTATCACCAGGAAAACGAACCTTTTCTCCTAAATCAACACAATATTGACTTTAGACGCTTGTTTGCGCTCCTCTTAAAAGGTGACGTAGAATACAAATGCATAGTGTATGTAAGAATGACTGCAGGGAACACTTGACAAACGAGTATATTATCTATGCATATCCGAATGTATGCATTATCACCCACGTACTTCCCGCCCACCAACACATGTAAGACGATCATTGAAGCCCCACCTATGGGAAAATAATATTTCACCGTACATAAATATGTTCAGACTTAGACATGATAGTGATTACAAACATTGGCTGTATATTTAATCTAACAATATTAAAATGCATGTAACGCTTTCAATTACTTGCCAATTATTATCGATTTTGTTAAGATGTTTGGGTCATCTGTATTAAACCCAAGTAAATATATAATATAATACGACTCAGAAAGTACTGGAATATGCAACATGTGGAGCAGGATGTACTCATTATTTTCAGAACGCCTGACATCACTTCTTGACTGTATTGCTTGAGGTCCTAATATAATTCTTACACTGATTTAACTATTTATCGTGTTATACATTTACATTCTATAAAAACGGATTATTAATGTAGAAATCGAGTGGGTATGATGTTTATTCACGAACATATGCGGTGATGTGCTTTACCCGTCACTGATATATTCTGCTGTACACTGTGCTG